AAGCACAGAACACTTCTAGACCAGGACCTGCTGCCCTGAGGAAGATAACCCATAAAAAATCAGGTGTTAATCCAAGCCTCAAGCCACAGCAAGGCCCCCAGGGGGACAAGCCAAGTGCTGAGGATGAGCCCAGCACAGACAAACAACACTCTCACCCTCGGGGTGGGAGCAGGGCTGGGGCAGAGGCAGTGCCCACATCCACCCACAGTCCCAGGCAGGACACTGAGCTGGCCTGGGCTCCTACCAGAGAGCACTCTCAGGCACTGCACGAAACAAGCCTACAAACAGCACTGTCTGAAACAACTTCTCCAGCCAAAAAAAAGCAGTAGAGGTACCTGCAGCAGAGCTTCAGGGTCCATTCCAGAGCAGCAGGAGCCAGGGCAGGAGACCAGCACAGCCACGAAGAAACGCAGAAAAAAAAGAAGAGCCCCCAAGCTGAGCTTAAATAGGGCTGCAGGGTGGGGTGGCAGAGGAGGAGGCCCCAGGTGTGCCTGCTCGGAGCCCTGGGGTTGGCCACAGCTAACGCAGGTGTTCCCAGTTGGCAATCAAGCCCAGGTGGAAGCAGTGACCTTGAGTGCCTCGGTCCTGCAGGAAACCAACGTCCCAGCCCTCTGCTCAGCCCACTCAAAGAGAAAATAACTGTTGATGACAGTCCTAAAAGGGGTTCTAAATGGATCAGTAACTCATACAGTTGGTTTTGCTTCAAAAGAGAGATGAGCAATGGGTGTCTTGGCTCAGTGTCACGGCAGCTTGGCACCCATCCAAGGACAGCTATCCCCACTCTGTGCTTCACACATCACACCAGGGTTTGGGTTTGGGGCTTTCTCCATGGTGTGCTTCCATTAGGAAGTGTCTGTAAGGTGCCAGGGAACCTACTGAAGTCTTTAAACAACAGCAAAAAGAGCATATACCCTGAGGGGATGTTATTAAAAGAGTGGATGCCCCTATTTCTAGATGCAGAAGACTGTGTATGGGAGTTACCACACTGCTTACACATGTGAAATCATTATTAACTGAGGAGGGTTAGGAGACCCTTCCTACGAGGGACCCTATGGTACAGGGTGCTGTATGACAGCCCACTGACACAGCCAGTCCCTCAAAAGATTCCCCTGCTGCACACACTTTTGGGACACAGCTGCACAATCTCCTTGCTGTGAATGAATGTAGGACTTTAAACCTTTCTGTTCTGTGCTGAGATTTCTTCTGTTTAGTTCCAGCTGATTGTGCTAGGCTGGGTTTCCTGCCTCTGTAAAGGCCAGCTCAAAGCTGACACCCCTCCCTGTCAGCCTCACACACAGCTATGGGAATGGAGCATTCGAGAGCCTGGTCCATATGGAATCACCTCAAACCCAGCCAAGCCCCCACCCTGCACACCCCACAGGAATGGAGCACGTGGTGCCATCGTGGCTGTCAGTCAGGCCAACCTGCTCGCTGTGAGCAGCTGGCAGATGCTGCTGGAGCTCAGTTCCTCACCCCCCAGGACAGCTGTCCTGCTGCAGGGGTGGTGTCACACTGTTGGAGCATGGCCTCGGTGACCCTGAGCTCAGCCCAGCCCTGCCCGTGTGGGTGCCCTGCCCTCTGAGCACAGGGCTGGGCTGTGGGCAGCCAGGAGCCCCCCAGGCACGGGCACCCACAGCAGACAACAATGGGATTGTCCAATGGCCCCTCAGCCCAAGTTCCTGACCAAGCTCCCGTGTGAGTGCCTTTAAGGAACCTTCATCAGTGAAATCAGACCAACAAAGAGTGACAACGAGGGTCAAGTGTAAACCCTGAGCTCTGTGTGTCTCTCATACCCACCAACACACCTTGGGCAAGGAGAAACAGCAAACAAACTTCTCCAGGAGGTAGAACTGCTTTATTTGCCATTGCTAATCTTGGTTGTATTTGCAATAACACAAGTGCCGGTCGATGCTCGTGATATCCAGTGTTTAGGAGAGAGTGAAGACTTTGTCCTTCCCATAGAATCCAGGAAAACAGAAGTTTGGGGGAATGCAAAGGGTGCTTTTGATGTCCCAAGCCCTCAAATGGCAGCATGTTAAAATCTGAAAAGCATTTTTATCTTCTGGGAAGGAATGGTGTGAGAGGAACAGGGCTTTCTGTGCAAGGGAGTCACTGAAGTTCTCTGGGACTTTCCCTTCTAGTCCTGCTGATTGTCTGTATTGGGTTTACAATCATTCCGGTCACATTTTAAGTTCATCTCCCAACAGGAAAGTTAAAGAAATAGACTTGGTACAACAGATGGGCATCCAGGGATGTATGGGAAGGCAATAAGGCCTGTTAGCAGATAGGAGATAAATGAGACTTCTTGGTGGGATCATGCAGTGGCTGGAGCTCTGTGAAGCACAAGGCTGTTCTTCCAGTGTGCTCCTGCAAGGATATTCCTAGAGGTTCTTCCTGTCCCATATTCAGGACCACGTGCAACCCTGGATCTACACTTTGGCTAAGCAAACACTCACACATACAGAAAAATGAGCTTCCACCTGCATTGGGCCCCGTGGAATTTTCCAGGAAACCTGGGCAGAGTTTTGTGTTTCTAATAAAACCAAAACAGTTTTTAAATCCAGCTTCAAGCTTCATTGCAAATATTTCTCACAGCTCTCTGTAGCAGGAATAATTACTGTCCTTATTTATCGGGTAGATTATACAAATCCCCTAGTAAGTAAATTGTAGGATTAAGGTTAATGTGCTAGATTAAACTGACAGATTTATTTACTTCCTCCAAGAAGGAAAGACGAAAGGATGGTGACCTATCATGTGTATTAATTCAACATTTAGCCCTGCCTCAGCTCCAGTGATTATCTCTGCAAATGCCAAGTCTCAGTCTAGATTCCAGTGCACTACAGCATACACGGAAGTTCTGTTGTCTCCAGTATTTTATCTGTTCAGCTCCTGATTTTTCAGATGGTAATGTGTTCTACTTTGCAGTGCCTTCCCTCTGCAGTTTCAGAGGGCTCACAAGGAACTACTTCTGCATCCACCCCGCAGGAAGTGTTACTGATCCTCACATTACAAGGGTATTCACTCTGAGAGATTAATGCCAATTTTATTCCATGACTTGTCTGGATGGAGTGGACAATTTGTGCATAATTCAGAGTCACAGGGTCCTTTGGGAGTCCCTTAGAGTGATTCTCCTTGTTGTAAAAGCCACAGTCTGGGCTATGAAAAAGTCCCAGACCGTACACACTTCAGAGCAAGGTGGCCATCTGGGTTTCCTGCTATCTCCTGATACTGACAGTCGCGTTGAGATTGAGGGGCCTGAGGGCTGATGCTGCAGCTGAGGGCAGGAACGAAAAGACAAGCAGGAACCTTCCCCTGAGGTCTGTACTGTCAGTGCATGGGGGCCTGAAGAGGGGCTGGGGCACCTCCTGCTTTCCTGCCTCTCCTTCCCCAGCGGTGAGCAGGCTGCACCCAACAGCACTGCCCGAGCACGTGCATCATTCTGAGGAGCACAGACAGCCCAGACCTGCCCAAGCAGATCATTTTCTGCAGAGCAATGTAGTATATTTTGTGGGACTACTGAGATGGAGACTTCTGGCAACATGCTGTGTGACCATCCCTGCACCACTTCACTATCCGGTGACGTGGGGACAGAGAAACAGAGACCAGGTGGAGCAACAACTTTCCCACAATCACAAACAAGGAAGGTGGCAGAAGAAGGACTCTGGTCTCCAGAAGACTGACCTCCAGTGCCTAAACTCCCAGTCTTAGTGTTATGAGCTCCCCAACAGTGGGATGTGGTAATGCACCAGAAGAGGCAACGCTGTCTGACACAGACCTGCCTTTCCTCATCCCAGCACTAGTGTCATCCTTCCCCAGTCTGGTAACCCTCCCAGAGGAACTTGGAAAAGCTGTATAGGTGCAAATGCCACCTATGTTTGCACAGCAGGTTGGGAGCAGGGCTGGGGTTTACGTGAAACCCAGTGACATGACCATCTGCCTGTCCTCCCCCCTTCAAATAAAAGCATTGTCCCCACGTGCTGGCCTCAACAGGTTTCTATATTTATCTATCCTTATTTTAGGAGGCCTGCAGAAGAAAGGTATAGATTACAGATGTGGTGCTCCTCGACTTAGCTAAGGTTTCCAGTGGGGATAATTGTTCTGGGACAGAATCCCAGCCCAGAGTCATTTGCTGCTCGCCTGCCAAAGGGGACTGCGAGCATTGCCAGTGCTCTGCTGGACTGAGCCCGAACAGTTCACAACATCTGAGGGAGGGGAGGAAAATTCCATGCTGAAATAGCTGGTTTAAAGTGCTGTACCCCACAGTGACAGCAGACTGTTTGCTAATACTAATGCAGTTTTCAGAGAGAGACTTTAAGTTCAATTTTCAGAATGTGTTTCTGCTTGGGAGATGGCCAGGATTAAACCCCTCCATCAGTTCAAAACTTCAGTGAGTTTTCAACAGAAAATCAATTCTGGTTTCACAGCTGACTGTAGTTTTGCAAGACATGACTAGTTAGGAGAAGGAGATTCTAGAGACACATCCAGCTCCTCTTCTCTATTACGTATATAGAGAGTGTACAGGCCTGTCCCTCAGTCAGCAGTGGGATTTTGCTTGTGTCAGAAACAGAAGGACAAAAGGAATATAGGAAGTGATCCTGGAAAATGTAAAATTTCTTCAGAAATTTACTTGTAAGCACAGTTTGCTTTTTATAATATGTGGCATATGTTCAAAACTCCCCTCCACTTACAAGCGATTTTTGCAGATAATATGACATATAGAGGTTCTCCAAAAAAACAAAAAAAACAAAAGCAGAGAACCAGAATGATAGTATCTATCAGAAAACGTGATAAAGACCATTTTCAAGGGCCAGTATAAACTTCTTTCCATCAAGATACTAAAAAAGGAAATAATTCTGCCCAGAGATTTGGATCCTACAGAATTATCTTAGTTTGCAGGGGTCAAATAGTCACAGCATTTTGATGTGTTTACATCTGATAACTCCCAGTAGAGATAAACATATTTCGTGCTTGAAATGTAAGTTAACACTGGACATACTAAACATATGACAAGAGATTTATTAGAAAGAACATTAAATACTATTATTAGCCCCAGCTGCAAATATCCATCAGGAAGGAATGGCTGTGTGTGAGCCAATTGTCTTCAGAATGGTGGGCCTTTCTAGAAACCCTCTGCAGTGGATGTCTTTCCACTGATTTCAGCAGTCTTTGGGTAGGCCTTCTTTTAGTAGAAAGATATTTAATTTCATCCTGATGGGAAGGACTGAAAAGCCAGACACTAACATTTCCTTTGCCTCATCTTTCATATTTAGCCTGTGCTATTGGTGGTTAAAACTTGTTATTACTTGTTTATTTTTCACATTTAGGCTACTACTTAATAGCTACATAGCCCCTCCAGGGGAGCACTGCTGCCTTTCATCAGTACTGTCTCAGAATGGGAAGAGTGACAACTGTTTTCAGATGACACCAGGCGGACTGGGATACTCTGAGCAGTCCAGAAGCTCCCACCAAGTTCATAAATAAAGCTTCGTGCCAGGTAGGGGGAAGAATTTGGCCCTGCTGTTCTTGATGAACAGGCTGAGTAATTCACAGTTTCAGCCTCTCATTCATAACTGTTACAGAGGGTGAATCTGGAAGGGAGGATGGAAAGGCTTGTCTTCCGTTGCCTGCAAGTAGCACAAAGGGACACATCTAACTGGCATATTATCGCTCCACAGTGCTTTCTGGGCCTGGTGTCACAGCTTAGGGCAGGTTTGGGCTCATGCTTCATGTTCTTGTACAATGTCAAGCTCCATTAGATCAGTAATCTCGTGTAATACAGTATCAGACAATGCCACTAAATGAATACAGAATAGAAGTATTTTTAGTTGTTCCTTTTCCCCAGGAACTCCACCTGGCTCTTGGCTTTCTAACAAATAATTTGTGTTGAGACATCGTAAGGTGACAAAGAGAGTAAGAACAACAATTATGCAAAAATGTTCAGAAACTTCAACAACTTGAAAAAATACATACTTAGGGATTTGCAGCCCACCCAGGAAATTGTGTGTGTTGATCACCACACCACTCAAAGCATGTGTATTAACTGCTGGGTGAAGTGCATAGGTGTGAGCCAAACTGTTGAAAGAGCAGCTGCAGTACTGTTACCACAATGACATCCAGCCACAAATCCTGTTGTTGAAATGGGCTATTCAAAAACTGCTCCTATGATAATCTCTGTCTGTGAAGTTAGCTGGGCTTTGGGGAAAATAAGAACATCTGATGTTCTGTTTTACCTTCTCAGCATTAACTCACTGACATTAAATGAGAATTTATTATACTTGTGGTTTTAACATTTTAAATCTGCACATACTTCCTCTCCATTTCTGGGCATTCTGCAGGGCTGATGCTGCAGAACAGCTGTCCCCTCAGTGACACTGCCCTGACCCGAGCACACAGTCAGGGGAGCCTCAGTGAGTCCCAGAGGATCACTCCCTGCTCCACAGACAACAATTCAGGTTGGGAGGGACCTCAGTCCACCCTCCTGCTCAGTGCAGGGACAACTGTGTGGTCAGAGCACGTTGCTCAGCTGGATGTTCCAAGCCTCTGAGCATGGAGGCTGCTCAGCCTCAGTCCAGCCTCTTCCACTGCCCTTTGCTACAAAAACTGGGTTTGACATTCAGCATGAACATGGTTTGTTCCAACTTAGGTCCTTTGCCTCTCATCCCCCTCCCACACAGCACTGTGAACAGCCTACCTCTTTTCAAAGAGAAAGGCAATTCAGCACACTTGCTGCCAAGAACTTCTTATCTTCTCACAAAGCTGTGCTTCAACCAGCACAGAGTTTAAAATAAACAATGATTTGTGAGTAAAACACACCTCAGAGGTCCCGAAAGGCCACCAGCAGTGAAGCCATGGCTAATGCCTGTAGATGAGACTAAGGCTCTGAGTGCAAACACCCTGTTTGACCAGGAATTTACTAATGCAAATGTGGGCTGTTCCAGGCCAGCTGTCCCCTGAGCCCAGGATGCTCCCATATTTTTCATCAACTGTTATGTATTGAGCCACTGCAAGTTTTTTCCCAGTTCAGCTGGTTTGTTCACATGTGACTCTGTCCTGATCAATGTGTGTCTTCTCCACCTGAGAAGATTTAAAAACTAAGAATCGGTTCCATAATATATCACTTTTTTTTAAGGCTAATGCTAATCCTACCAAACCACTTTTCCTGTGTGCATTTCTGAAGGTGAAAGCTACTCCATAGATAATTTTCAAGGGAAGGTTGTACAACAGCTGGTGGTTTGTCACAAGCAAGGGTAAGCACCATCACGTAGCATTTATTTCCTTATCTGAACAGTATCATTAAACTGATGACATCCAGGTCCATTCAGAGAGTTAAATTCCTCCCTCATGTATGAACACAATGTTCCCACAGTGCTAGAAAGTGTGAAACAATGTGATGGAAGAAGTGGCTGCTGGGATAGAGAGAAGTGACTCTCCAGTCAGACTGGGGGGAGTTTCAGAGGCACAAGAGACACCCGTGTCCCACATGGACACCTGTGTCCATGACCATTAGCCAGCCATCCCCCTGCAGTGCCCTGCAGGCTCTAGGAAGGGGATTCTGCATCCCTGCAAAGATGAAGCCCTACAGGGAGGTGTCTAATGCAGGGCTCTGCAGGTCGAGCCCATGCTCACATCCTCACTGGCCGGGTCACAGTCATACACCCACATCCCAAATATCTTCAGCAGGGGAGGGCTCCTCCCCGGGAGGTGGCAGAGCAGGGAACAGCCTGGAGCTGAAACCTACCTGAAGGAATAGTTGCAACATAATATCCAAGTGGTGAGAAAGCCCCAGCAGGATCAGAGTTCTTGTATTGCGTTAGTTTTGTTGATAGCTAAACAATTCCACAGATGTGCTGAACCATGAAACACATAAACATGCGAGAGGAAAGACATATTTTGTCAGGAAACTTTATGTAAATGCAGCACAAATATGAAAACATCAGTAAGGGGATAAGGCTTAATTGAAAACATGGTCAGGTTTTTGTGGACAAAACAGCCGGTTTACAGTAACACCAGACGTTTGTATTAAATGAGTAGTTTTTAATTACCCCAATGGATCTTCTTGTTTGACGGGACTGGTGAAATCTTTTCTGTATCACAACAAGAGGAAGAAGAGGGAATTCCTGGCTTTCAGTCCCAACTCGGTGTGCCCCCAGGAGCTGTGCAGTGAAGCCGTGGGGTGCAGGGACCCTCCCACACCCCTGCCCAGCACAGGACCATGGTGGGCACCCCGGCTGCACCCATGGAGACACCCGTCCTGCAGGGACAGGCCAGTGTGTTCTGCTCGGCTTCCCTCTCACTGCTCACCCTCTGCTGCCACAGCAGGCAGGGTCACCACGAACACCCAGCCCAGTGCCCAGCCCAGGGGCAGATGTGCCACGGCCTGCGGGCTGCCCGGGCTACCACCAGCCAGCACACACCTCCTGAGCGCTG